AAGCTATGGTTGGTTTTAAGAGAAATGGGTGTGTATATGCCAATAAAGGTAATTGGATTGGTTGAAATGGGCGTGCCACAACAAATTTGATTGTTTTGATGCATAACTTACATTCTGGATAAGAGACTACTGTTAGAATAAAATATGGAGAAACAGAATGGTTTCCAATTAGCAACAATGTCAGACAAAGATGTATTTTATCTCCCTGTCTCTTCAATCTATATGCAGAACATATAAGGAAAATTGGATTACATTTAGATACAGGTGGAGTGAAAATTGATGGAAAGAACATTAACAATTTGAGATATGCAGATGATACCACATTAATGGCAGAATATAGTGGACCTGAAATTACTACTGGTGAAAGTTAAAGCAGGATTACAGCTGAACATCTGAAGACAAAGGTAATGACTACTGGGAAATTACATGACTTTAAGGTTGAAGGTGAAGAAACTGAAATGGTTAAAGCTTTTCCATTCCTTGGTTCCACCATCAATCAAAAGGGAGACTGCAGCCAAGAAATCAGAAGAAGATGGAGACTGAGACTGGGAAGGAGCTAGAAGGAGCTAGAAAAAGATTCCTAAGTATAAGGAAATGTCTATAGTGACCAAAATCAAGATCATTCATACCACAGTATTCTACATTACTATGTATGGATGTGAAAGTTGGTAAACAAAGAAAGCTGACAGGAAGAAAGGTGATTCATTTGGAATGTGGTGTTGGAAAAGAGTTTTATGGATACCATGGACCACCAAAAAGACCAATAAGTGGGTTTTAGATCAATCAAGCCTGAATTCTCCCTAGAAGCTAAAATGACTACAGTGAGGCTATCGTACTTTGATCAAATTATGAGAAAAGAAGAGTCACTGGAAAAGACCATACGGCTAGGGAAAATTGAAGGTAGCAGGAAAAGAGGAAAACCCAACATGAGATGGATGGACTCTATAAAGGAAGGCAAAGCCCTCAGTTTACAAGACCTGTGCAATGCTGTTTATGATAGATCATTAATTCATAGAGTCCCCATAAGTTGGAAGCAATGTGATGTTTTGGAGATCATTAATTCATAGGGTCCCCATAGGTTGGAAGCAATTTGATGGCACAACACCCAGGCATCTTTCACATTGCCTTAAAAATCCACTTGCGTTACCTGATGATAGCATTCTTTTTATTGTGTTAGACAACTTCATAAACATCCTACAGCTGTCTCATTTCTTTCCTGTTTTCCCCCCATGCCTAATAAAACTGGTTTCTCCTGCACTTTTTTCCAAAGCAAAATGTATTTGTGACAACACTTCTGCTCAAAATCTGAACTAAGTTTTTCACATTGGTGGCCTCTGGCACAACCTGCCCACCAAAACCTGTGCAGAAAGGGTGGGCAGGTTTGGGTGCTTTAAAAAAAAAAATTGCATCCCAGTGCTGAAACTTTTCAGTGATGGAAGGTTACTGCATTGAAATAAGCAGTCATTCTCATAAGAACATAAGAGAAGTCAATGTTGGATCAGGCCAATGGCCCATCCAGTCCAACACTCTGTCACACCATGGCTCAAAATACCAGGTGCCGTCAGGAGGTCCACCAGTGGGGATAGGACACTAGAAGCCTTCCCACTGTTGCCCCCCCCCCAAAGCACCAAGAATACAGAGCATCACTTGCCCCAGACTAAGAGTCCCTATCTATACCTTGTGGCTAATAGCCACTGATGCACATCTGCTCCATATGTTTATCCAATTCCCTCTTGAAGCCATCCATGCTTGTAGCCGCCACCCCCTCCTGTGGCAGTGAATTCTATGTGTTAATCACTCTTTGGGTGAAGAAGGACTTCCTTTTATCTGTTCTAACCGGACTGCTCAGCAAATTCATTGAGGGCCCACGAGTTCTCGTATTGTGGAAAAGGGAGAAAAGTACTTCTTTCTCTACTTGCTCTATCCCATGCATAATCTTATAAACCTCGATCGTGTCACCCCCTCAGTCGTCGTTTCTCCAAGCTAAAGAGCCTCAAGTGCTTTAACCTTTTTTCATAGGAAACAACGTGAATCAGCACCTCCTGGTTCCAAGCAATGCAATGCATCCTGGTGAGCCTAGCATCCCATTTAACCCAAAACCAAGTGACCATGCCCAGATTTGAAGAGAAAACCCCCAGCAAGTAAGATAATTATAACTGGAAGATCTGGAGGTGAACTTCATGCTAACTCCTGATATTATTTAAATGAAGTTGGTCAAACATTAGTTCTCTTAACCCTTAACAAAGCCCTGCCGAAGCAGATTAAATGACGATTTCCAAAACGGTCTTGGATACTGTGAGCCAGGGAGTCTGAGCCGTGGCCCACCCTCTCATTGGGGGCACCTCCCTCTTTGCTCTGCCTTGTGTGTGTGTGTGTGTGTGTGTGTCTCATCTGATTGGTCTGGTCTGCCTCTCTCTCTCAAGCCCGAGAAAGCCATGATCATGTCCCCCTCTTGCTTTACATGAAAGTAGAGATGCTAGTATTGAAGCCATTGATGCTACTCTCACGTAAAATCCACCAGATCTTCTCTTGACCCTTTCCACCATTCTTCCCAGTTGCGAAAACCCTTCTTCTTTTTGTTACATTCTTTTAATGTTTTCAGTTTAAAAATATCAGGGGCCAAGTGATTGAGCAAATAAATTACCTTTTGTGCTTCAGAGTTGCTCTTTGAGAACCTACTGCATTTTACACAAGAGTAAATGGGGCTCGTATGGAAGGCGAAGGAAACGAGGCTGCTGAAATGCTCAAATGTTTCAGCGCGTTGTGCAAAAAAAGCCCACCCGGAACAGAGGGAACCCATGAGGGGAAGTCTGAACTGATCCCACCCATAGCGTGATCATCAGAAGTGACACAACACACGCAAAAACACAAAAGGCAGCTGCATTCTGAAAACAGAAGAACGATTACAATCTAAATTCCAGAACTAGGAACCCTCTCCCACTTCAGTTCTCTGGCCCGCTATCCCAGACCTCTCGTTCCCAGCGACTGTGTACAGCCCTGCCTGTCCTAACATTCAGTGCATAACCCACTCCTTCTTTCTATTGTCCTCTTTCAAAACATTCCTTGTTCAGCAG